GCTGCTGGAGGATGGTGTGCTGTAAACACACACCATCCAAACACACCCCTCAAAGCTGGGCACAGACAGCTCTGGGCAGGGCTGGGCCCCGGCTGTGCCAGGGCTCCCAGGGCTCCCAGTGCTCCCTGTCCCGGTGGTGGCACCTCCCAGGGACACCAGCTCCCCTCCTGGGCTCTGACTGAGCACACACAGGGGTGGCACCCGCTCACATCAGGTTCCAGCAGGCAGGGGACGGAGCCACGGATCTGAATTTCAGAGTGCACCAGGCCCCCAGTGCAGACACAGCCTCTAAGGCATCAGGAGCACTTACAGCTGCCAAGACCTAACACAGTCAGACAAGGTTTTAAAGGTGAACAGTGTCATTTTTCCCCTGTTCAAACCACTGGGTATTCTAATTTTATCAAACTTCTTGGTGTTTTCCTGGGAAAGCAATAGTTAAGAGAAGCCTCCATGCCAATTCTGCCAGTGCTGTCCGTCTCAGCTCTGTGCCATGGCAGGCACCTAAGCATGCAGAGTCCTCAGAAGTCTCTCACAGCTGAGGTTTCCATAAGCAACACAGAAACATGATAGTTAAAAGCAAATAATTCTAAACTTTGCAATATGCATTTAATATAGCAAGATTAAACGCACCTAAATTACAGCGTGTTCTCATGTCATCCCTTGGAAGCACCCTGAAGCAAGGCCACCCTGAATTTTCAGCTGTTTCTAATCCCAGCTGAGAGATAAATCTGGAGTGTGGTATTTGGGGAAATCTCTTGTGCCACTACTTTTAGCCTGAACATTGGAAAGGAGGCAAGTGGTTTCATTTTGCAGAGAGCAGAAATCCACTGATTTGAGTGGGCTGCGCTTTGAGCTCGCTGTGGAATACACCTAGCAATGGTTGTGACACCTGTCTGGACTTTGCCAACATTTGGAACTTCCCCTAAAGCCCCTCAAAACAAGGCAGAATCTTGCCAGGCAGCATTTGGTGAGAAGAACCGATTTTGAAATGGGCTTCTTAGAGGAACACATTCCAGCCAGCAGCTTTAGCTGGGTCTTGTTTACCCAAAGGCTCCCAGAGTGACCTGTTGGCTCAGGACATCAGGACACTTCCCCCCTGCTTTAATCATCTTTTGTGGGCTGGTGCTGTTTCTGGGGACCAGTCCTGCAGGTGGCTACCAGGGTTGGCTCCATGTGCCTCTGCCTGCTTAATGAAAACAGCCTGAATTAATCACAAAAATGCCAGAGAGCTGCCCCAGTGTGGGCTGGCTGAGGAGCTCACCCCAATATTCAGGATATATTTAGTGGGTGCTAGAAACTGATCTCATTTTTGATTGAGACACAAGGAAATAATTCAAGAGCTCATCCATTACAATCTTTTGCTGTTTCAGTTTCAAGATTCCAATAATGTCATGATAATACTGATAATATTTCACTGACTTTGGAGGAAATAACTGGGTAACATTTGCTAACTGCACAGGGATACACCAGATTGCAGTGAAATGCTCAGACAAAGCTTTTTCCCTTTACCTTCAAACACCAGCATGGTTAGTCCTCTTTCAGCAAAGTCTGTTCCATCACTGTTTATTCTACTGAGGAAAATCTAAAAAATGGATAAACTTTTAAAGATAAATATGCTGACACAAAATTCAGCACACCACACGAAGAACCCCATTCTACCTAATTGTGCACAGGGTGATAATTTAGCACTGATTAAAGAGTTTGTATTTTTTTCAAATCTTTTTTAAAAGGAAAATTACTTCTGAAGGTGAAGATGTGCTTAGACAATCATATTAACATATTCAAACAATTGTAATTTGCAAAATAGTAATTACAACTCACTATCTGGTAGCATTAATCAAACTTCAAGGTTTAATTCCATTTTAAATATTGATGAAATGTGATTCTCCAATCTAACCCTGGTGTTGCAGGGTTATGGAAGCAGCCAGTGGCAGAAAAAGAGGAACGTGTAGTTAACAAGCAGCTGCCACAAAGAAGGATCGGCATCTGTGATTTAAATTGTTAGCTGCACAGTCAGGTAGAGTGTAAAAAGGGTAGTCAAGAGGCTGTTAAGTCCATTGCTGCCAATTACTAACAATCAGGGAGGAGCTTTAAGACTTGTTCAGTACAATAAACCCAGTTTGTCTTGTTTCAGGGGTTACTACTGAAGAGGTTGCAGCTGCACTGATTCAAATAGCCCTAAAACTACAGTAATTATCAACCAGTCTTCTTTAGTGTAGCAAAAGTATGTTTTACCATAGCTTAACTCTTTACATTCTAATATTTCCCTGCCTCCTCTGCCATAGCTAGCCCTGGAGCCATTCTCATCCCTGGGCTGTGATTCTTCTTCCTATCCTGGACCAATTCTTTCATTTCCCCTTACCTAGACCGAGGAGCAGTTGTACATCACACTGGCCTGGACAGCAGTTCTAGGCATTTGCTTCATGATCAGTCATTCCATTTATTTTTCCTTTTCATGCACAAAGTTGAAATTCACATCTCTCGTTCAGTTTTTACATCTGGTTAAACTCCATGCAGGTTAAGCAGGGCTTGTGAACGTGTATTTCATTTGCATGGGCTCAGATCACTGCACCAACCAAGACGTTTTGGAATCAGTCTGGTAGGGCCAAGATCCTTGGAGTGACTTGTCCTGGGTGCTTTCCTAGGAGACCAGGACATCCCAGAGTGCAGAACAAGACAGTCTGGGCAAACCAAGGGTATGCTGGAAACCTGTGAAGCCAAGGTAGCATCTGCCCTTCTTTGTGCTTATGCCCTTGATGCTCAGCTGAGTGAGGGCTGTCAAGGACTCAGGCTGGTTATTTCTAGCACTCAGGCGAGCCAGGTGTGCCCAGCTGCCAGCCAGACATGCTGATGCTCAGCATCTCTAAGTTTTCTTATTCCTTCACCATGACAGAAACAGACAAAAGTTTCCTTTACATGCAATTATTACAAACTCAGTTAAACTATCTATTTTTTTTTTAATTTTTTTTTTTTTTTTTTTTTAGTTAAGGCAATTCCAGCTAAAACCAGAAAGCCACACAGAGTGGACAATATCTGTCACAGGGAGGCTCACATGATCATATCTCCAACACCTAGTGCGTAGAACAAAAGCCAGCACATTGATTATGGCTTGGATGTTGTTTTTGAGAAAGCTTAAGGACCGCATTTGCATTCCTGTTGCAGCCCTCGGTGGAATCTGCCTGTGAGAATTGCATGGTCTTTAAGCAAGATTCTGTGCTCATGTTTTTAATTTCCCTTTTAGCATATTTTTCCAGCGTCTATTTTCACCTACTTTACACCCAAATTAGTAATGTGCCATTAACAGGGTATTTTGTTATGGATCTGTGGATCTCTAAGGAATAAAAAAAAAAATCAGTGAAACACGGAAAGAGCTGAACTTAGCTATCTTATCCAAATTATGGCTATTTTGCAGTCATTAAAGCAAGCACCTTGGCACCATCCCTGCCTGCACCAGGATGCCAGCAGAGCTGGGTGTGAGCAGCACCTCAGGGTGTGCACCCCACTCGATGGGCCAGCAGTGACAGAAAAGAGAGGGCAGCATGAAAAAAAAAAAAAAACAAACCAAAAAAAAACCCCAAAAAAAAAAAAAAAAAAAAAAAACCCCAAAAAACAAAAAAAAAAAAAAAAAATAGACAAAGCTTGATTCACAAGCAACCACAGTCAATGAGATTAAGCCCCAAGCTTGTGCACCAGAATTTGTCACATACCCCTCTGGAAACTTCTTAGCCTAACACTTCATTCCCATCCCCTTCCTACCCTTTGCACACGTCAAATGCTCCTCTGTCACTTTAGCATGAAGGTACAACTCCACAATCAAAAGATCTCCAGGAAAATCTGACTCCTGGAGAAGCAACATGCTTCTTTCTCCATTTTGTTAGACCTGCCTAGGCAGGGTGCTCAGCGGGGAGGAAAAATGGGACCGTGATGGTCACGGGGGTTGCACCCTCTCAGCTCCATCCTCCTCCCACTCATCTGTTCTTGTACGTAACCAGGGCTGCCACGAACCCTCGAAATTTAGATTTTTACACACATCACAAGCAGCTAATATGAATTTGTTAAGACAGTGGTAAACACAAGAAGCAGCTCGAATATATTTCATTTGTACAAAAATAAATACAGGTATTGTTGTAAGTATTACTTTGATTTTTTTTTTTTTTCCCCCCACAAGGCTTTTTGAAGTTTGTTTTTCCTGGTTTACTACACATATCCCTTTTTTCCCTACACAAACACAAAGGAAAAGGCTGCAGAACAGTTTTTGGAGACAAGACTATTTAAATCCCTGAAATTAAGAAGCCACAACTCAACATTCACCAAGCTATTTTTTTGTAAATCATGCAGAAAATTACTATTCAAACTTTGCTGGTCAGTTGTTTTTTCCTACATTGTCTTTGCTTTTATTTTCTTTCCACACTGTCATTATGCTCTCAGAATAAATACGACAGACATGAATACTAACAAGGGACACAGGAGTTGCTCTAAAATATCTCTCAGCCACTACATCAGCTTATACCTGCCACAAGACACATCTCAAAAACAGCATGGAAAGAAAAGCTCCAAGATAAGAACCTGGGATTTTACTGAAAATTTTCCTTTACCTTCACTTTTTATAAACCAACAAGCAACACAACCAGAGTATTTTAAAAATGCTTAATCTTAATTTCTGATAGTTAAAACATTTCTCCTGCGTATTTTGCCCGAAAAGGCAAAATGTAAAATCTGTACATATAAATCTCGTGGCTCACCCAAGCTGAGCTTATCAAACAGAGGAATAATCAGTCCTTGCCACAGAGCCAGCACCTCCTGCCTTGACAAATTCCCACACAACAGCACACGATCTTTTAAACAAACAAACAAAAAAAAAAAAAAGTGTTCTGAGATATGCCAACGGCTAAAAAATGGATTTATTTTTCAAGGGAGAAATGACTTGTTTGACTGGAGCCCAGGGATGCAAGGAGCAGCTCTGACAGGGGATATTTAACCTTCCTTTCTCTCCCTTCCAGACGATGATGAGCATGAATGGATCCTTCGGACCTGCCGGAAAGCCTGGGATATAACAGCTGAGCAGGAACCGAAACCATCACACGGCTTTTCCTAGACAGTATTCCAGCAAAGCAGGTAATCTGATTCACAATAAACGCAATTTGTCCTCGTGGATTTGTCTCACCCTTTCCCTCGACAGGAATATAATCTTTCTGTCATCTTTGTCAGCTCAAAGAAAAATGGAAATAATCATTTAATCAGTCATGCTGAGCAAAAGCCACGACAAAAAAGCCGACTGTACTCACAATAATATTCCTGAGAGGTGTGCAGTGTAGTATGTATAAACATTATTAAGCCTGAAAACAATTTGTTAAAAAGAGTGCCTCGGATTCGGTGTTGAAGTCATTCAAATCCATCTTAATCAACATTATTTTCCCAGATTTTAGTTAGCTGTCCTGGTGAATTCCTTTCCTCTCTTTTTGCTCAGTACTTTGATATTGATTGATCATTGTAATAATGTACACCAGAGGTATTCTTTAATGACGGGTTTGCTAACTAGGAAATTATATCCATTTACTACGAACGTTTGTTGAAGTCTCCTGAAGCCAGAGTTTAACAAAATAATAAAAGAGGAAAACTGGGTGGGTTGCTGCTTGATTAGTAAGCCAGAAAGTATTTAAAAATAAAATAAAATGGAATTACATCATTTTCTGGATGTAAGTGCCAGCACTTCTACTTGCATTAACTTTATTTATTACACAAATAAGACATTTACAAAGCACAACATTAAAAGTATGTAACAAAACAGACATTGGTTTTACAAAAAGTGCTTACAATTTTGTTTTACTTTTTTAAAATAAATATTAGTCTTGACTGTCCACTCATTCAGAGAAAATTTTTTTTTTAACCATTGTAGCCAAGACATGCAGAATTGCAACATGCTACAACAAAATGATTGGCAGATGAAATAAAACTGGTGTTTAGTTGGCATCCTACAGATAAATCACTGATAGTAGTGCAGGATTGGTTCCCACTCCCTGTCCCAACGAGTGAGTTCTGTAAGCACCTTTAGCTCGGGCATTGGGTTAACCAGCATGAGCCAGAAAAAAATCACTGGTGATAAAACCTGAAACCATCCCACTTCCAGAGCCGAGCTCTGTTAGTCACCTCATTAAACTGGAGTGAAGAGCCTTTCACTGGCTGTCTTCAGTGGATTCTGTCTGCAAAAGGGTTTGTAAATAGCAACTGGAAAAGTTTAGTGCGTGGAGTCTGCATTGCTGCACCAGAACCCATCTGGCAATTACTGAATAAACTAAGAAAATGAGAATGACTTTAATTTTATTTTTTTTTTTAATCCACAGACAGGAGATGAATGCAAATGACCTGAGATAAGGTTTGGTTCAGTGGCAACAGTCAGTGTGAAATATGTTGTGAAACAATGTATTGAATAAATTAGAAGATTTCTTACATTCTTGGTACAGTTGAGTATTTTCCATACACATAATTAGCTCTAAAACTGCACAAGCTGAATTGCTTCCAGTTTTTGCAAACAATTTGGGCTTAATATAAACAGAGCCTGATTTCTGAATTAGCAAAGCTGCTCCTGGCTACTTATGGGGGGAAGTGCCCCGAGCACAGTCTGTGGTGAGCCCACATCCCTGGAGAGAAACACCGACATTCCCTGGGCCCTGCCGTGGCACTGCTTACAAACCCTTGGATAGCCAGGACATCTCCAAGGGGGGTTTTTCTGACGGAGTTGGTATTCAGCAGATACATATTTCATAGTTTCCCTTTCACTGCATTGCCAATACAGAAGGGAGAAACACATCAAACCCCTTTTCTCCCTCAACAGGACAGTTGTGGCAATCTCAGAGACTGTGGGATGTCAGGGCAAGTTACAGCCTGAATCTCTCCTTCTGAGTCAAATGGAATAACTACCCATTCCTTTATGGCACTAATTCCACAACTAAATGGTCGTTAGGATGTGCAAGCACAAATGGAGAACAAAGTCAGGCCCCGGTGACGCCCCCGGCCCCCACGAGCATCTCAAGGCTGGCACAGCAACCACCTCAACCTGTGATGACAAACACTCACCAACAGCCAGCCAAGGGAGCACTCATCCTTCCCTCATTGCTATGAAAAGGACAAAAAGGATGCACCTGGTGCCACTGGTGACTGTCCCCTCCCCAAGGGACGCCTCTGCAGAGGTGGCTCCATCAGGTCAGGCGTGTGGCAGCGCCTCGTCACTGGTCACACTCTGGGAATGGTCACTCACACAGCTGGAGGTGACAATAGCATTTTGTGGACTTAATTCCCCTCTCTCCTTTCAAATGTTATTTTGAACTGGGACTAGAGCTGCTGGCTGCAGTTTGACAGACACTGGCCCAGCTGTCCGAGGTAGTACCATCGCTCAGTACACGGACACACACAGGAGGGGGTGTGTGTGTGTGTGTGTGTGGACTTGTTCCAACCAACATCCACGTGTGTTGTACTCAGCTGCTTCTCAAGCCAAGAGATCTCAGTGGCCACCTCAGCAGACGTGCCCATCTCCCCACGCCACTGCTGGAGCGTTCCTGGTGGTTCGGTGGAGCCACGTGTCCGGCTGCTGGTGTCACACGGAGCTCGGGGACGCGGGCAGGAGAAGGCTCCCCACATGTGCAGCATGGGCTGGCCAGAGCAGCAGGATGGTTGCCCACCTGGCCCATGCCGTGGATTGATGCAGGATCTCCCAGAGAGGAAAACACGTGTGTCTACAGTTCCAATTAAAAACAAGTTATGGAGCAGATGGATTCCCATCTCCTGCTCCTCGGGCACGGCTCAGTCACATCCCTCACTGGCTGTGGCTCAGGGTAGGCTTTCACATTCTTGGAAGAGCAGCCTCACAGACACTTCACAGCAGGACAGGCCCATGTGCTTGCGTGGAGAGAGGTTTGGTTACAGACCTGCTCTTGGCTCGGTGCAAACTGAGAAGGGCTGGCAGAGGTCTCATGTTTAGCTTTCGTTATTACCATCAGTGAAGGATGGGATCGTTTTGGAGTCCTTTTCCTGACTTGGGGCCAGACTGCTGAGCACTTCCTGTGCTGTTGCCATGAGCCCAGCCATTCTCCTGGGATGCACCCTCATCCCAGGGCCTGGCAGGACCAGCAGCCCTACCCCAGCAAGAGAGACCAGGAGGGCAGAGGGGATCAGAACCATGCTACCAGACAAAGGAAGATGCCATCCCCTTGCTGTCCACTTGGCTAGCGACGGTTCCTGCTGGCCTTACTGTGGCTTTCACCTTTTTAAGTGGTCTCCAGTTTCTACCCAACTCTTTCCACTGACTGAACTTGAGTCCACAGCAGGGCAGAACATTTCTACACCTTTATGACCACCTTCCATCAAGCATTTCCCAGTCCCAGAGTATGGATTGTCTGAGAGTTTTCTGTAGGTGCATTCTGAAATCACCCATTTGTGATCCAATATGACTCCAAGGAAATTAAGTAGCTTGTTAATAAAGAATGAGAGTAAAAATCTTAAAAAAAAAAAAAAAAAAAAAAAAAAAGATTTGGCAGATGGCTGTGAGAGGAGAGAGATATTCAGTGTTCTAAGAACAAGTCAGCAATCAAAAACTTCAGGGTGCTAAACCTGGCTCTGCCACCAACCCTCATGGTTCCTCTCAGTTTAGGACATCTCTGCTTCCCCTCCTACAAAACGGGGGGAAAAACACTAAGATTTACTTACCTTTGAGTGATCAAAGGACATGTGATTCTAAAGCACTTTGAGGAGGAAGAAAAACTGCCTATTTCCAGCTGGCATCATGTTTTCCACTCAGTGGAGTCTCAGCTACCTGCGAGTTTGGCTCAGGGAGGTCTGTCTATATATCGAGCTGCTGAGCCATAAAGCCAATTTCAGATTTCACACATGCGAGTGGAAAGAAGGAGGGATGTCCAGGAACTGCTTCACTGGTGCAAAGAGAGAATCAGGCCAAACCACGAAAATTCCTCCTTCCTTTGTGTTCAGAGGTGATCATCGACCCCCCCTGAGCTCAGCGTGCTCTGGGTCGTTCATATTCCCGTGGGTTTGGGAGCACGACTTGCGAGCACAGTAGAGTCACCAGTTTTGACTGTGGCTGGCACTGCCTTGGAAGAGACTCACGGTCATTCTACAAGTCCACAAGAAACAAGTGTAAAATGTAACTGTGCACTCAACACACACACACACAGAGTGTCGCTGGAGAAATCGGAGCGGGCGCGAGGTGCTGCTCAGTGGAAGGAACTGCGAGCGCTGGGGCTGAGCTTCTCCCGCGGGACCGGCGGCCGAGGGCCGGGCGCTGTCAGCGGCTGAGGGGCAGCGGTGCTGGCAGGGCCACGGGCACGTGAGGAAGAGTCCCCGCAGTCAGTACTGAAAGAGGATGACCTGGGGGGAGAACGGGAGCGTCAGGGCACAGCGATCGCTGGCAGGGAGCGGCAGGATGGACACGGGCTCTGCCAGGCAGGACACTTCCCCGTAGGAAAACCCTCTCTGGAAGAGCTCTCTGCCCAAGAGCTGCCAGCTCTGCCCAGGGAAGGAGATGCCACTGAGGAGCCCAGGTGAGAGGTGACAGGAAAGGTGCACCACACCTTTGGATGTGAAACCAAACAAAACCGGGCAGCACCCCAAAAATGGCACTTCATTCATCTGTTCCATCATACGGCAGCTGCCAAGAAGGACAGAGACTGTCCTGACTGTCCAGCTGTCCTGACTGCCCACCCCACCCAGTGACCAGCACAGGCTCCCCTCAAACCCTGCAGCTCGCTGCTCTGCAGGGGCAGGAGAAGCAGCAGCTGGGCTGGTCACAGCTCACCTCTCACCAGCCACTGCACTGGGCACCCCCAGAGACAGTGGGGCTGCCCCACACGCAGAGGGAAACACACACTCAGCATTGAAATGTGTTTTCTCAGGATCTCAGCTATCTCTGCTTTTAAAAAATTTTGGATGTGGGGGAAAAAGGCTACTTCAGTTTTCAGGAATTCAACATGCAAGCGATTGTTTAGAAAAGGAGCTGGTTGGGGGGCAGCTCCGTGTCCTGAGAACCCTGTTCTGCAACAGCTGCGAGCCAGTAATTGCATTTAAATCAGGAGCTGCTTGCTGCAGTGAAGCTTCTCTAACAACAGCACCAGGACTGTATAATATTTTCTGAAAACTCTGCAGCTTGCTGGCACACAGGACAAAATGGTAGAATTGAGACAGAAAAAGTGTCTTTGCTGTGCCCCTGCTTCTGCCCATTGAAATAGAGCTCAATAAGCAGTTGCACTGAGAGAGATCTGAAAAGAGAGGTGCTGAGAACTTCTAACAGCAAAGACAAAAGCAAAAACCACTCAGAATTGCCAAAGGCTCAGTGTTTCCTCAGAAGAAAGTCACTGAAACTAGCGTCATGTTTGAGAAGTCTTGCCCCCAATGAGCTGTGTTAGAACAGATACTGTAAGAGCTGAACAGAAAAATATCAACATGCAATATTGTCTCCTGGCCAGAGTTGTGAAATAACATTCCTACTTCAGATATTGTAACAGCCAGTTGTTATTATTTTTAAGCAATACTGCAATCCACAAGAAATGAATCTTTTTTGTTAACTCGTGGAAAACTAGGAAGTTAGCACATGCCACAGGTTCCCCCTGCTCCGTTGTGAACAGCCAGGTGCTGTTCACACTGAGCACACGTGCAGGCACCTGAGGGACAGAGCAGGACAGAGCTCAGGGCACCGGGAAGGGGAAACCAGGGAGGATCCAGGCAGGAGGATGTGAGAGCCCTCAGTGGATGCAGGCACAGAGTCCCAGCATGTCACAACAGCAAGGGCTGCCCAGGGGAACACACAGTGATGCCATTTTGACCAACAGTGGGTACGTCAACCTTAGGGCCCCCAAAACTACGAGCAGACACACGGGTGGGTGGCAGATGCAGAGGTCATGGAGAAGCAGTGATGCTGACAGGAGACAGCGGTGGCAATGGTGTTACACACAAATCTTTGCTACAGCGAGGGTTGGCCCCAGAGCCTGGAACAGGGACTACATTTACCTTCTCACCCCTATTAGATAGTGGTCCTTCCATGTCTGCTTTGAGGTGCACTGGTGGAGCAGTGTAGGGAAGTCTACAGTGCACTTGTCCACACTGTACCTGACCTGTGGATGAGAGGAGGCTTCAGCCTCTGTTACTGCAAACAACACCCGCCCTCTGCGCGGCACGGCCGGGTCCCACGGGGTATGCAGGGACCAGGAGGTGCCCAGCAGGTCAGGGGCACAGCCACAGAGCCAAAACCTGTGTCCAGGCATGACCAAAGCTGCCCATCACTCACAAACCATTCACTGGCACTGGGAACAGAGAAAACAACTCTGCTGTCCTGAGCAGGAAGGAGACCACAGGGCACACTCACACCTCTCCTCCACGACACAGAGAGCACCGCAGGGCCGAGGGCCAGGCAGTAAAACCCAGGCACTGACCTTCCTGGGGAAAGTTAACCCCAGGGGCAGAGTTTATCAGCCACGAGGAGCAGCAGCAGCAGCACGGGCACCACCCCCGCACCCGCAGCACCAGGAGGGTTTTGCCACTGCCCATCCCGGGCTCTTCCCCAGCCCCTCCATCTCTTACTTTCGATGTATCCGTGCAGCGTCACCATCCGGGCCCGCTCGGGGCTGCTGAAGGGCGAGTAGTGGATGTCGTCGGCCAGCGAGGAGGGGATGCGGGACGGGGGCGCTCCCGAGGGCGGCACCGTGTGCTGCGGGGTGTGTTTTTTATGGCGGGCTCTGCAGTTTTGAAACCAAACCTGAAAAGAGAGCAGCGAGGGCTGTGACAGCTGAGAGACAGTTGGGTTAAAATGTGGTCCTTCACCGGGGTCCTTGGATGGATGTTTCTTCGAAGTTTTTATAAAAGGGATGAAAAGCAGCAGGTGTGAGATCTCTGGTCATATCTCACTGTTTCTAATTAAAGGAGTAGTTTGGGAATTCCATCCTAGAGTTAAAACATGTATGGAAAGGGGTTTTTAATGCTAAAGAGGTGATCTGCTCCTTATGCTTTAATTTTTGAAAGATAGCTGTGAGTAAAAACTTTCTCCAAGACTGAGTGAAGATCAGCTCCCCAAGGCAGAGCACACTGGACCATAGAGAAGGAAACAGTCTAAGCATTTGACAAATTATTTCCTGTTCAAAGCGCCTTTAAAAAACATCCACATAAAAAATCACCTGGTGTGCAGCCTGCTTGATCTTTAGCTAAATGAAGAATCTCAATAACAGGGGCTCAAGCCAGATTTTCACACGCAAAATTTAAAAGTGTCATTGGCAAAACAATCTCGGATGAAAGCTCCAAATTTATTTTAATCTCTCGTGTTTTTATTGTGTGCAGAAAGTGTGTGAGCAGAATGTTAAAGTGATGAGTACAAACGTCACCAAGAGGCAGAGCTGGACTGGCTGGGAGCTGCAGAGGGGACATTTCTCAGTCCCTACGGCACCACTCACCCTCTTCTCCTCCCACATCAGGGGTGGGAACTTCCTTGCCACAGTGTCCTCTGGAGCTGCAAAACTCCTTTTTCTTTAAACTTCTCAATGCCAATGCTTCCTGACTCTGCCTGCTCGTGGCAGGGGCGGCTGCTGGGGGAGCTGCCACACTCCCAGCAGCGGCTGGGACAGAGCACAGCGCTCTGCTAGCGGCAGCTTTGCAGCCAGTGATTTATTGTGGATGGCTGGGGCTGTTGGGGTTTTGATTCATCGCATCACAAGAGGGAAAAACAAACAGCAAACCCACGAGTGAGACACAGAAGGAACGGCGCTGGCATCGCTGCGGGAGCAGAGGAGCCGGCACGCAGGGAGGCAGCTCGAAGCTGCTGGATGCTGCAGGTCTGGGGTGAGGAGCCACAGGCTGTGAGTGTGAGCCCTGGCTGGTGCCAGCCTTCAGGTGCCCCCTGCCTGCCCTGCCTGGCCGGTGGTGGCCACCCGTGCCCGTCCTGCCCTCACCTGAATGACTCTGCGGCTCAGCCCCGTCATGTCCGCCAGCTTCTGCAGCGTTTGTGCGTCGGGGTTGTTGTCCTGAGCAAACTGTGCCTGCATGACCTGTGGAGAGAGGAGAGGAGAGAGGGGCTCGGGGTGAGGCTGGGGGGTCCCGGCCCCCGCAGCCCCCCTGGCCCTGCTGCCCTTACCTGCAGCTGCTCGGCGGTGAAGGAGGTGCGGGCTCTCTTGGCCGGCTTGGGCTGGCTGTCCTGCTCCGAGGGCACAGCCCCCTCCAGCGTGATCCCATTGCCTGCAGGAGAGAGCTCCTCTGAGCCACAGGGCAGGAGCCGGCCTGCCCCACCACGTGCAGCAGCTGCTGCTCGGGGGGACGCCACACCTGGTGGCACCACAGGGCATCCCCTCAAGGGAGGGACAACAGCCCGGGCATCACAGCCTGGGACAGCCAAAGCACCTCTTGCTGCAGTGGGAGCAGAAAGAGTGGAGCCAGCATTGCCACCTGGGAGCTGCCTTGGGCTGCTGAGCCCCTCTGCACGCAGGGAAGGAGAAACAACCATTCCCCAAGAGTTTACTGCAGAATTAAGAAAAATGCAGCAAGTGGTGGAAGGCACAGGGAATAAGGGGAGACAGCAGCAGGCAGAGGGTCAAGGTGGTGTGTGAGGGCAAGCACTGATGTCCCTCTGGCCCTGACTCCTGGTCACATTCTCCAGGGAGTGGCTCAGAAGGGACTCTGTCTCTGCCAGGCTCACCAACATCCATCACTCCTGCCCCTCGCTGCCCCCTGTGATCCTGTTTTCCCTCAAGGGCTCTGCCTCCATCAGTCCTTCCATGTGCTCAGAGCATTTCAATGAGCTCTTCGCTCCTTTCCCCAGCCTCAAACTGTCCCAGCATCCTGACCTCCTCTTCCTCCTGGGTCCCAGAGCAGCAGCAGGAGCTTTGGGGTGGCCATGCATGAGCAGCAGCCACACTAAGGGGACACTCCAGAGGGGCACTGACCTCCCCCTTGCCCAGCCCCGTGTCAGGGCAATCCCAGCCATGCTCACGCTGCTGTGCAGCCTCACAGAGGGTGCCCAGGGCCCTGCTGCAGCCTGTGCCACCCTGGCTGCCCCTGGCAGTGTAGGTGAAGCTGAGGGAGGGGCGAGGGAGGACGGGTGGGGGAGGGCAGAGAGCAGGGCTGGCGCTCGCCCCGGCCCAGGATGCGCCTGCACAGCCCAGGGATCGCTCCACAAGCTGGACCAGGCTGTGATTGTCTTGGCTTGAGTTGAAGGACTTTCTCATATAGTTTGACTTGTTCTTTTCGGATGATGAATGGGACTCTGACTTCAGCAACATCTGTTTATTTTTCTTGTATGTAAAACCTCATGTGCAGAAGAAATTGCTGGGTAATTACTGGAGGGGGGAGTGTGGCCCTGCAACTCCACAGCAACTACAGCTCTCCAAAGTGATCCCACCCCCTTCTCAAAACCCCTTGGACACAGGTAGTGACACCTGACACTCACCAGGTGCCCCGGCACTGCCCAACCTTGTGCTCAGCCCACTCCAGCAGGTCGTTGAGAGCAGCAGCAGCAGCAAACCCACCCTGCCAGCCCTCAGCCAGGGCAACAGCTCTGCAGGACTCCCCGGTGCCAGACCCTGCTGTCCTCACACCATTCTGCTCCCCCAGGACACGTGGCTTCTCCTCCTCCATCCTTGCTCCCCATGACCTCCCTCACACCCCACAGCAGCTGACCAGATGGACCAACACACCATGAGCCATGTCCTGAACCAGGACCCTCCCAGCCCAGCTGGGCACTCTGTTTTCATCCTCTTTCTCAAACACAGCAAACTGAACTATATTATTTTCCTGTCAGGTTGTTAATGGTTTCCACATGCTGCATGGGCCGGGACATGGCATGTCACTCCCTGTGCCCACCGTGTGCTGAAGCACTTTCCACCACAGGACAGGTCCTGGCACTGCCCGTCCTCTGGACTAACCCCACAGATCTGTTCCTCTGAGCATCATTCTGGGCACTGCCATGCAGGAGGGTGGGGAAGGGACAGGAGCTGCAGTGCTGCGTGACCCCGGTGACACCGGCTCCACTGTCTGGCCGTGGCACAACCCCAGATGGGCAGGACGGGTGGAAAATGATGGGAAGGTTTTGTCCAGTCACCAATCCCACCTTCTACATTTCTGACTCACAGCCTCAAATCCCAGCAGCCTCCTCACGCTCTGCACTCCAGGCTGTGCAGGACCAGGCACTTGTCCCTGGCATTGCCCATGGCACACAGGTCTGCCACGAGCTGCAGGTGCTGCCAGCACATTGGCCACGCCACGAGCCCTCTGCCAGCCCAGGGCCTTGTGCTCAAACCCCCCAGGGCCACCCATCATCCTTTTTGGCAATGACAGGACCAACCCCAACACCCTGTGCTGAGGGTCTGCGACACCCTGTCTCACAGGGGACGGTGACACCCTGTCTCACAGGGGACAGCAACACCCTGTCTCACAGGGGGACAGCGACACCCTGTCTCATTGGGGACAGTGACACCCTGTCTCACAGGGGGACAGCGACACCCTGTCTCACAGGGGGACAGTGAGACCCTGTCTCACAGGGGGACCATGACATCCTCTCTCACAGGGGACCATGACATCCTGTCTCACTGGGGACAGTGACACCCTCTCTCACGGGCGAGGCCGTGGCCGCCGGCACTCCGTACCGTTCTCTGCCGCTCGCTTGAGGTTCTCGATCATGGTGTCGTAGTGGATCCGGCACAGCACCTTCTCCTCCACCAGGCCGAACTCCTCGCCGGTGGAGAGCTGCCTCTTGCAGGAGAAGCAGGCGAAGCAGGCCAGGTGGTAGGCGTTGCCCCGCGCCCGCCGCACCCAGTCGCTGGCGTAGATCTGCCTGCCACAGCGGGCACACTTGGTACCGAACCGGCTGCGGAGGAGAAGAGAGAGGTGAGGGCAGGCAGGGAGGGCAGGGAGGTGAGGGCAGGCAGGGGAAGACAGGCAGCACCATGCCAGGGTGCAGGTGCTGCTGCCGACCCCGCTGCTCACCCCGACCACGCCAGCTCCCACAGCACCCGTGCATGCAGAGATGCAGCGGGGCCGCCCCAGCGGTGCCCGTGCCGTGGCAGTGCCAGCGGTGTGGGCAGCAGTGGGTGGAACTCGGTGCAGCCCTGCGGCGCCAGACGCGGCCGAGGGGCCGAGGTGACGCAGCGCCGTGAATCAGCTTCCAAGCCCGTGGGTTTTTTATTTTGATAACAGCCAGTGTGACACTCGGATGGAAACTGTGTCAGAGCTGGTCCTCTCCCGCTGCCATAAATCAAACCATGTGTGTTCTCCTCACACGTACAGGCGCACACGTCTGCTTTTTCCCCCGTGGAGGAGGTCTCCTCACTGTGAGAGCATGATGACTGTGCTGGAGTGAGCTGTGCTGGAAGGTAGCTGAGCACAGTCAAGAAGCAGACAGCCAGGATCCCCTCACCAGGTGATTGTGTGAAAACCCCCATTCTGTCAGGAGGCTGATGGTCAAGGGCAGGTGATTCACAGGGAGCAGCAGATGTGGCCCCCATGGCCCTGAACCCCCCGGTCAGTGTGTGACACGAGGTGCCAGGCAGGTTTGATATCTGCATGTTCAGTACTACTGCTGCTTAAAATAACAAACGCAATGAACAGCAGCGAGAGCATCAGGAGAGAAGGGAGCATCTCCTCTGCCACCCCAGAGGTGGTACTGGCTCCAACACAGTCAGTGCACTTCCCCACACAGCCCAGCACTGCCACTGTCACCTCAGGCTCCCGAGGGCTCCTGCCAGCCCCTCACCACAGTGGGAAGCAGAGCCACAGGCAGCCCTGCCCGAGCAGCTCCAGAATCTGTTGGTGCAGACACAAAACACCGACAAGAAATGACCACAGCAAGAGACAGGAGAGACGCCACAGCACAAAACCTTGGGTTCAGTGGCCAGAGCAGCCCCAGGCTCTGCAGACAGGCAGAGACAGAGCCCAGGCCAGGCCACCAAGGCCAGTGTGCTGCCCATGCCCGACCCCACACCGAGGAACTGCTGCCCACCACGGGCCCAGCAAGATGTGGAAATACTGTCCTGTGCTGGGATTACTAATAGCAAAACTATTTGGGAGGAAAAGAAGGGTCTACATTTTTCAGCCTGACCATAGCTGACCAAAAAAGAAGAAAAAAAAAAGAGGACATTTCTGTGCTGAAATTATACAGAGACTTAGCTAAGAGACTTCACTAATTTACTTCAGATGGGAACATTGTAAACTGACTTTGTGCCAGCTCGTTTATATAAACGCACAAACAAAAGAACTGTATTAATTTTTTATTTAGAAATAAAGATCATTCCTGTAAATTGAATTACTTTGAACAATGTGCTATGTAAACAGTCGTACTTGCTGAACAGCATCAAGCGAGGGGCAGGCGTACGGAGCTAATGGCACGTGGTGATCGCCGCTCCCCGCGCCAATCCCAGCCCAGGCGGGGGAGCACAGCACGGGCACGGGGAAACTGAGGCACCGCACAGGAAAGGTCACACGTCCCCAGCACACATCCGCTGGGGTCTGGGGAGACACCCAGGCATCTCCTGAGGACCAGGCAGGACCCCCAGGTTGGCAGCAGCGCCCAGGGAGCCGGACAGGGTTCGCTGAAAGGCGCGGGGGCTTGCATGGCCGTGGCAGCAGCACAGGCAGAGGCTGATGTTCCTGTCCCTGCAGGGCCACACCACGAGCAGAACCTGCAGAGAGGCTGGGGCTCAGCACAGCGCGGGTACAGGGCTGCACAGCCTGCGGCAGCAGCGATGCTGACGCTGCGCCTGCGGCTCTCGGCCAACTCCCGTCTGCGGCACCGCTGCAGCCATCGGGGACACGGCTGGGGCCAGGCACCAGCACCCACTGTCACCCCACAGAGGTGACACTGCAGGGACCACCACTGCCAGGGACACAGGAACGGGGAGAAAAAGGTCTGCAAGAATTCTGCCCCGACCATCACCACTGCAAATAACAGCTCAAACACAAGACAGGGTTTAGCTCACAGAGCTCGCAGCGCGGTGAGAGCCCAAAGAGCCCCAGGGCTCCACAGGACTCCTGCCACCTGCCTGGTAGGGACAGGGATGCGAATGGGGACAGGGCCACATGTAGCAAGAGACACAGAGCCAGAGGATTTGTCCAAGCCCAGAACTGTGACACACACTGCAGCATTACCAAACGCTATCAGAACCATGGGCTCATGCCCTGCATGCATGGTTTGTGGTCAGGTGAGCAGATGCTCTCCCCAAAGGTTAACTCTGGGAGATGGAAACTGACAACAGGAAAGACTCATCCCAGGAAGACTCATCCCAGGAAGACTCATCCCAGGAAGACTCATCCCACCTCCCCCAGAGGCAGCCGCATCATCTGGGGCGCAGGAAGAGCAGAGGCGGGAGGACGCCCTGGTGCATCCTGTGTCTCCCACGCTGCTTGTCCCCAGGTGCCACAGCTCCCTCAGCCCTCCTGTCCATCCCTGCCTGCAGGGAAAGGGCAAGGGGCACCAGCCCCAGGGCCACGCACAGCTCAAACATCCCTGTCCCCTCCTGGGTCCTGTCCCCTTCTGCAGGAAGCCTCTAGCACAGCCCTCAGAGCCAGCTGTGGCTCACATCTGCCCAGTCCCACAGCAGAGCCCAGCGCTGCCTCAGCGAGGATCTTCGCACTGTGCCACTGCAGTGCCCGAGCAGGAGCATCATCCTGGAGGGACACAACCTCTGGGATGAAGGCCACCTGAGCCACGGCCAGGCCAGTGACCCCAAGGTCACAGGCCTGCAGACTGCCCACCGAGGTCACAGCAGGGCACAGCGGGAATCACACCAGGATCACGGGAATCACACCAGGATCACTCTGGGCCTCCGGGCAACCGGAGCCATGGGAGCTTGGCTGTGAGCAGCCCTTGCATGGCTGGGAACACAGTGTTCTGCTCAATGAGCTCCAATTTTAATTTGGTTCTCCTTGGAGCGCTGGAGTCTTAGATGCCAAATGTAATTATTTGACAAGACACAGGAAACAGCAGCATTTGCTTAAAAATGCACACGAGGCCATGGAATCACGGCAGAGCCAGCACCTACACAGCTCCTCATGGGGACAGAGAAGGGACACTTGCACAGAGCAGGCCTAACCACACTCCCTGTGGGCAGTGGGGCTGTGACATGACAGCCCCATGCCTGACAGCTTTCATCCTCAGCGTCCCCCAACAGCACCGGAGTCGGAGGGATCAGCTCTGCAGCAGCCCAGCATCCGTGTGACCCATGAAGAGCCTCTCACTGCCCCTTCCATCTGCCTCAGCTCCAAGCACCACACGCCTTAGGATGGGGTTTCTGCTTTGCTTAAAAAAACCCCCAAACCCTCACACATTTAATCTGCCTCAAATAACAAATAAAATTTTCAAAATCCATCCCGGGAATCAGGTTTAGCCCGCGCCACGCACCAGCTTCCACTGGCTGGAGTCAACAAGATGCCAGCCAGGATGCTCCCAGGGTGCAGGAGGTGGCCGAGAGGGTGGACACGGGGCGAGTTTGCCAGGGGTAGCGGGAGGGATCCCAGCCCTGCTGAGCGGCTCCCGGCCGCACACCGGCACCGCCGGCGGTGGTTCAGCCCGGCTCGTTCTGCCGCGGGAGGCGGCGGGAGCGACCCCCGCCCACCACCCCCGAGCACCGAGCGGGGCTCGGCCGGGGCCGCAGCGATCCCCGCGGGCTCGGGGACAGCGAGGCAGCTCCGCACCCGCCGGGCTCCGAGCGCCGCCGCTGCCGTCGCTGCCGCCGCTCAGAGATTCACAAAAATAAAATTTAAAAATCTCTCCAAACCCCCACCTTTCTTTGTAAAAGACAAGTGCGGAGCGCGGGCTGGGAGCCCCCGCGCCCCCCGAACGGGTGCCGCAGGAACCGGGAGCGTCCTGCGGCGGCTTCCGCGATTTTCGTTTTATTTCCCTTGGCCCCGCCGGTAGCGGCGGGCAGAGCCTGGCTGCTCCCAACGGGGAAGGGGTTCGGAGCTTCTCGGGCGGGGGGTCGTGAAACAGATTAATTTTAACATTGTTATTTGCCATATTTGCTCAAAGGTCATTTCGAGATCGCGGCGCTACTTTAAAACCGCCTTTGGAAAGGTACGCTCATGAAAACAAACGAAAAAGAAACCAAACATCAGCGGCACCAGAACGGCGATAAATGAATGAAAACGCTCAAAGTGCTCCAAAACAGCACCGCGGCCCCGGGACCCCCTTGTGCCTTTCTGTGCTGAGTGGGGAAAATTTCGCTGAAATCGCCGAAAATTGCTGTTTGAAAATAATAGCAATAATAATAGTAATAACAACAACAAAAACCACTACAGGGCAGGACGCAGAGCACCGCAGCCTCGGGACGGACCCGGTTCTCCGAGCCCCGCTCCCGCCTCCGTGAGCCCCGCACTGCCGGCGGCACCGCACCGAGCCCGGCGGGGGCAGGGGCTGAGCTGCGGAAAATCGGGCACTCGCAGACCCTTTAACAAAAACCACCGGAGGAATCTCCGCGGTGCCCCCCGAGCTCCCCTGCCCGCTGTCGTCGGGGCAGCCCCGAGCTCTGCCGCGGCCGGAGGATGCTCCGAGCCCCCCGTGCCCTGCCGGGGTCATTCCCATTTCCTGCCCGCCATTCCCCTTCCTCCCGGGTCAAACAGCATTCCCTCATCCTCGTAGGATGGGGAAAGTCAGAGCGGGGGTTCCAATGTTTAGTTAAATCCCGGCGAGGAGTTCAAAATACTCAGTCTCCTCGTGCGAGTCAAATTGAGGGGGGGAATTAGTGGTTTAAGGTTTAGAACAGAAAGCCTGTCGAAGCCAGGACATCCTCCCTGCGGGACAGGCTGTCCCGGGTGTGCGGGTCCGGGCCGCAGCTGCCGCCCGTCGTTCCTTTCCGTTCCGTAACGCGCTCCCGCCGCGGACGCTCCGGCCATTGCGGGCCCACAGCGCTGACAGGGGCTCCCCGAAAGCCGCTGGGCACCGCAGGCTGCCAGCACCTATCTCCCCTCCGGAAGGAGCCGGGACGAGGCCGTTCGAGCCCCTTTTCCCCGCCGCGGGGCCATCCCCGGCACGCCGCACCCCCGGAGCCGGGAGCAGCAGGGGCTCGGGGCGCCCGCACAGCCCGGCCGGGGGGCAGGAATCCCTCCGGGCCGTTGTGCAGTTGCATCCCAAACTCCCTTCCTTCTTTTCTCCCCGTTTCCCGAGGGTCGTCTCCCAGCCGGCTGCTCCAGGGCGCCCTGCGGGTTTTCCGAACCTTCCCCACGGCAGCTCCCGAGCGGCCCCGACCCCGCGGCAACCGGCGAGGGCTGAGCCCCCCGGAGCGGCCCCGGCCCGGTCCCTACCTGAAGTAGTCCATCTTGCAGAAAATCTCCTTGTTCTTGATGTAGCAGCTGTGCTGCTGGCGCAGCGAGGTGCGGCACACGGAGCACTCCAGGCACCGGACGTGCCAGATGAGGTTGTTCACCTGCGGCAGAGAAGGGGCTGAGACCCGGGGCCACCCGCCGCCCCCCGCCGCCCCCGCCGCCCTCCGCGCCGCTCACCTTCAGCAGGTACCGGTCGAGGATCTCCAGCCCGCAGCTGGAGCAGACGTTTTTGCCGGCGGACGGCGTGGAGGAGGAAGAGGATGGCGGGGAGCAGACGGACGGCGTGGAAGGGGTGCTGGGCGCCGAGCGGGCGTCCTCCTTCTCCAGGGCTCCAGGCAGAGGCTCCCCGTCGGGCTGCGACTGCGGGCAGAGCCGCCGCGGGGCCGTCAGCCGGGGCCCCGCCGCTCCCCGCAGCACCGAAGCGCAGCGTCCCGCCGGGTCCCCGCAGCCCTCGGCATCCCCTGCCCGGCGGGGACGCACAAACCCGCGACATCCCCGGCGGGACCCCGTAATCCCCGGTCCCGCGCGTCCCCACATCCCCCGGCCCAGCGGATCCCGGCGCGTCCCCACAGCTCCCCGCACCCCCGGCCCAGTGCGGCCCCGCATTCCCGGCCCGGCGGGTCCCGGCTGAAACCCGCAACCCCCGGCCCCACTTACCATGGCGCGGGAGTGCGGGTCCAGGCAGCGGGCGCTCCCCTTGGGCAGCGGCTCCGGCGGCATCACCTTGATGGAGAGAGCGGGAGAGGGAGGCTGCGGCTCCATGCGCCGGGCGAGCGCGGGGCACCCTATATAAACCGCCTCAAAACAATAAATAAGAACTTTCTAGTGGCCATTTAAATCCTTTGCAACAAAAGCTGCGTCTCTTTAATGAAGCAATTTGAATGTGGATTGAATTCTCCCCCTGCCTGCACTTAACCCGGGCCTCTTGAAGTAATCGCTCGGTTCCCATGCGAGCCAAGGCGCTGAAAAACCCCCCAAACTACCTGCAATTAGAAATTGCCGTAAATGCCCGAGATAAGAGGTACCAGAGTGTCAATTCCGGCTGTCAATCAGGGAATCCATCAGGCCACCCAAAGAATTGCAAATTTGATTTTTTTAATGGTAGTAATTAAAAATCGAAATTCTTCCCCCTCTCCCTCCGCCGAGCACAAAACGCCCCAGAAAACGCCGGGATGGAAAAATCCACCCCTCTGGCGCGGGAGGCAGCGAGCGGCCCCGGCCCCGCCGCTGCCCGCCCCGACGGGGCGCACGGTGCGGGCCGGCCCCGCAGCCCCCCTCGGATCGCGGCAGCGGGGATCGCGCCCACCGCCGCGGCGTCTGGCCGCCCGCCGCTGCCCGGGCTTCATTAGTAACCTGATAATTCCCCAGCAAAGCCCCGGCAGCGGTGCCACCGCCGGGTAATTGCAGGACGGTAACGTGAGCTGATGGCGGCCGGGGATGGATCCTCGCCGTTATTGATTGTGACAGCTAAATTGTTAACCGAGAGGGAAATCAGATGAAAGCCATTTTAGAATAAATACAAGGCATTAGGTTTAAACATCGAGGTTGCAGGAAAGCCCGAGTAACCCCCAGGAAACGGAACCCAAGGCCTGCCAGCTTGTCCTCCTCTGTCCCCAGCTCTGCAGAGGCCGAGTGCGGGGGGACACAGACAAGTGCAGAGGCGAGATGCTGAGAAAGGACAATTTCAACCCTTCGTTCTCACTGGTGGGGTCTGAATTGGCTCTGGCTGCTCCAGGAGAAACACGTAGGAGTTTTCCTGGGCTCAGCCATGAAGCTGTCTGTCCCCCTACGCAGCAGCGGTCGAGGCAGGGCCGTGTGGGGTTTATTTGCATCCCCAGAGCGATGCATGGCTTGGCAGCCATGGCTCAGCACCACGCAGCCAAGCAGATGCTCGCACTGCTCTCGTGATTACAGACCCAGCTCTCCAGACCCTGCAGAGCCAGAGCAGGCTCAGGAATGGGGTGACTCCAGCCCAGCTTCTGCTCTTCTCCAGCCCTGGGAGTAAGTCTTGGCTCTGCAGGGTCGGTGTTCTGCTCTCACTGCCTGCTGAGAGCAGACAAATCTCACACGTGCATCTTGCACCAGGAACAGGGCCTGGGCAGTGACTGAGGAACTCAAAGCACTGGAGCTATCAGGTACCAGCCCTGAGTCCGTCCCTGTCCTCACCCCCATGTGCTCCCTCCTCCAGCCCTGGAGTTTGTACACGGCAGCAACAAGGTGGCAACGTGTCAAGCAGCAGCTCGGCCAGAATCCCAGAATTTGGGGTTGGGAATGTTCTGTGCTCCCAGAGTGAAGATTCCACGCCTGTCCCAAGTGAGGGACTGTCACCACAGGCAGAATGGTTCAAATACCAAGGAAAAACCCACACTGTGGCCATGGTGAAAGTTGCCCTCAGTAACCCACCTTGCTCCCATGGATTTGCTGGAAATACCGGGGAATCAAGGAACCCCCTCAGAGGACAGGAGTGTAGGCTGGAGGTGAGAAAAGCCCAATTCGCCTTCACAGGAGCCAGGCACCAAGCCCAGCTCTCCTTCCCACCCTCCCTACTCACGGCTCCAGCGCCGGCCGCAGTGATGCTGCTCCCCGGCGCTCTTCAAATCTCCTTTACGACGGTCTCATGCAAAGCCCCAGGGTTGATGCTCATGAAAAAAAACCCCATTTCTGAGCATTTCCCTCCTCCCAGCTCCAGGGTGAGGAACCTGGGCTCGCTGAGCTGTCGGGGCCCCGGGGAGCCGCAGGCAGCAGCACCAGCGCCTGCCAGGCCGGCGGCAGCAGCAGTGACCAACACAAGCACCGACCTGCAATAAAGCTCCCCCAGGTCTGAGCCTGGCTGGACACACAAGGCACTTCTGTTAGCGACCACGGCAGGGCAAAGAAATAATTTAAAAAAAAAAAGACTGATGCTATTGTACCCGAGTTCTGTCAGTGGACTTCGGGTGATGCCAAGCATTTACCACCCTCACTCACTTCCTGCTTGCCACCCTCGGCTTTCCTGGAGGAAAACATGCATTTTAAATGTTTATTGAAAGCTGTAAGAATTTCAACAAATTGTATTTAAATACAAATAAATATCAAAGGATGTTTCTGAGGAGAGCACAGCCACACACCAGTTGAAGTCAGGTATCTTCAGGTATCTTCCCCATGGGAACAGAATTCAGAGCTGTTCTAAACAATGCAGATACAGACCCGGAAAGCTACAAACGTTAGAGCACGCAGGAACAAACACAGGCTGCTCACAGAGGAATGAAAACGGGCGTCACTCACATTCAGAGGGGTACAAACTCCCAAGAATACTACTTTTCCCTCTAGTCAGGTACCCAAAAACTAGGAAACAAACATTAACAGCACGAGACCTACTTCAGAACAATTGAGGCTTTCAACAATCCTCCGCCACAGACAGGCACGGCTCCGTTCCAGGTGCTTGGTTCTGCAGCAGGAAGCCAGCTCTGCCTGGAGGGAGGTGTGCTGCTGCTGCAGGAACACAAACCTCCCTGGGCTGTGCCACTGAGCAACTCCTGCCTGCACAAACGGGGGCTGTTTCCAAATTGTTTTCCCCCTCCTGTTTGAGACCACCATTAACCAGCTCGGGGGGAGCAGCTCAAGAGTGACCGATGAGGTCTGACAGGAGGGGAAAACCAGACCATTGTCACCTGGACCTGAGCACGTGAGTTCTCTGACATCCTCCTGGCACATGCAGTCACAGCACTGTGCGCACAAAGGAGAAAATGCTGCCAGATTTTTTTTTTTCCTCAGGTTTCTATTTTGCAGACATTTAGGGGGAAAATGTGTTGCAGATCAGATGGTTCTGAGCAATGCCTCCCATCAGATCTGTGGATTTGGCCCCTGGGGCAGTCCCAGTTCACCACAAACCCTGGTGCCACCTCACACCAGAGGCAGCTGACCATCTCTACCAGCCCATGGAAACCAAAGCTGGGCAGGACAGGGGGCAAACACGGAGTTCATGGCTTGCAGATGTCTCAGAGGCTGCAGTTACTCCCACACCCGGCTCACGAGGAGCCGCCACCATCAGGGATCACTGAACACAAATGCCAAAGCTCAGGGCACAGCACAGACCTCAGTGATGTGTAAATACACTAATTCCTACAGGCAGGCACACACCTACAGCCTAAATGACACTGAAAATACCTGGGCTGTGTCATTACCATATCATAAAGTAACATTGTGGAGTGTGCAAATCAAAATGTAAAATCAATTGGCCCTGGTGCATATAAAATATTGCATGCACAGTTACTAAAGGTGTTGCAAGATCTATTTAAAATGAGTTTTATTGAGATGAAAAAGTTTTTCCATTATAACTACAGCATGTTAATCAAAAACAAGTGCTTCTCCTTCCATTAAAACATGAATTGGAATACATTTCGTTCAAAAATACTTTAAAAAGTAATCAGTTAAATGGAGTATTTTTGGATGTGCCTTACTCCGAACGCTGGTTACTGTTTCTAATCTGGCTAATGAATGCACACTAACGAGAGGTTGCCTGTGTGTTCATCAGAGGCTTTGAAGGGAACCTATTTCTCTGAACAGCCTTCAGCTGTGAGCTGCACAGGCAGGAACGTGCAGACCCTCAGGTGTGACAGAGGGCTGTGCTGGCCGTGCCCTGCTCAGGTGGCATTGTCCTTCCCACTCTACAAAAGTACAAAAGCATTGGAGGACTCCAGGTATACAAAGCAGTGTTTCTTGCTACCATCATCCATTCATAAGCATCATCTTCTGGATTTCCAGGCAGCTCTGGAGTAAGGAGTAGTCCTTTTCTTATCTGGTGGCTTGAAGTAAGAATAAACAGGTGCTGCAGGATATTCTGCGTCTGGATTTTCCGCCATCATTTTCAGCTTGGCTTCAATGGCCTTTATTTTTGCACTGACACTGGAAAGAGAAAAAGCAGAAGGGACATTGAGCTTGATCTTAGCATGAAACCAAACTACAGAAATCCAGAGATTCTGCTGACATGAGAATCCTCCCTGCACAAGGAGGGGCCAGGCAGCCCCCACTGCTGCATCCACAGCGAGGCAGGAATGCACTGCCCAGAGCCCACACTGCTGCATTTCAGCCTCTGCACGGGTTTGCTCCTGCAAGAGACTCCTCAGCACCCCAAAATAACAGCCCCTGCACCTATTCAGTGCTTCCTTGAGGACACTGAGTGAGACAAGAACACGGCAAGGCTTCCTACTTCATTGAAATGATGTCATTTCAGGAGCTCTGAGCATGTGCAGCAGAGCAGAGCTCGGAGCAGGCTGCTGGGAACAGCAGAGAAATGAAAGCCAGACTTCCTCCCAGCTACAGCCCGCTCGGGATGGGAAAACCCCAGACTCTAATTAGGTCAGGAAGAAACATTATTTCAGCATTAGCAGGGTTTATCCCAAAGGGAGAAGCTATCCTAGGTTACACCCCAAATTCCTAGGACTTTGTTATTCACTATCCTCCACTGGGTATGGATGGGGAGGAATGTTCCCTGCCCCACTGTGGCTTCTTGCACCATCCATCCTCACTGGAACAACCCCTTTGTGCCATGATGCAGTTAACAATCTGCATGACTCAAAGCCCTCTGCTCTTTCCTTCCTAGCCTGTTACTTCTGAATTACAAGCTCATTTTATCTCTGGGCAAGTGATTAATCTGGTCCTGGTTCCTCACAGGGTTCCACTGACAGAACACAGAGGAAAACCACACAAACAAACTGTGAAAAACATGAAAGCTATGTGCTTTAGGTAAATGCAGTGGTTGGAGAATTTAACCACATTCCACAGACAAGACCTACAGGCAAAAAAACACTGGCAAAAAAAAAATTAAAATTAGTTTTGTGTGAAGCACTACCTGTGACTTTGTTTTAATCTTCTGCCACTATTGTGGAACCTCTTGCTCATTAAGCATTTTGCTGAACCAAATAAGCAAGTAAAAATCTAATTCACATGAAGTGCAGAGATTCTAGCCAAAGGAGCTGGAGTGCTACACATTCCCAA